TTGGACTGCAAGGAGATCCAACCAGTCCATCCTAAAGGATGTTCACTGATCCTAAAGGATCAGTTCTGGGTGTTCACTGGAAAGACTGATGTTGAAGCTGAAACTCCAATACTTTGGCCACCTGTTGCAAAGAGCTGATTCATTGGAAAAGACCCTGGTGCTGGGAAAGATTGAAGGCAGGAGGAGAAGGGGAAGACAGAGGATGAAATGGTTGGATGACATCATCGACTCGATGGACATGGGTTTGGGTGGACTCCGGGAGTTGGTGATGAAGAGTGAGGCCTGGTGTGCTGTGGTTCACGGGGTCGCAAAGAGTCAGATACGAATGAGAGACTGAACTGAACTGAAAAATATAAAACAAATGAATGCATATAACAGAACCACACTCACAGATACAGAGAACAAGATTGCCAGACTGGAGAGGGATCAGGGGATGAGTGAAATAGGTGAGGAAGATTAAGAGGTACAAACTTCCAGTTATAGAATAACTAAGCCATAGGGATGTATTATATAGCATACAGAGTATAGTTAATAATAATTATAATAACTTTGTATGGTGACAGATGGTAACTAGACATATCATGGTGATCATTTTGTAATGTATAAAAATATCAACACACTATGTTCTATGCCTGAAACTAAAAAATATTGTAAGTCAGTTTTACTTAAATAAATAATTTTAAGTTAAAAAAATAGAAACTATACAAAATGAAACACAAAGAGAAAAAAGATTGGAAAAAAAGAAAGAATAAAGCATCCCTGAGTTATTGGAACAAGATCTCACATACATGTAATAGAAGTCCCCCAAGGAGAGAAGATACAAGGAGGACAGAAACAGTTCTGAAGAAATAGTGACCAAAATCTTTCAAAAAAAAAAAAGACTATTAACCTACAGATCCAAGAATCTCAACAAAATGCAAGCACAAGAAATGCAAAGAGAACCACATCGGGGCCCGTCATAATCAAACAGCTTCAAACCAGTGATAAAGAGAAACAGTAAAAGCATTCAGAGGGAAGTGACAGTACATCCAAAGGGACAAAGATAAGGATGATGGCACGTTCTCCTTGAAAACAACAGAAGCCGGAAGACCGGGAGCAACATCTTTAAAGGACAAAGATAAAGGCTGAAAGCTGGGAGAGGAGCTGGGAGACTGTGCTCGCCACCCAGGGGTGACAGGTGGTGAGGAAGTGAGGTCCAGAGGTAGCAGCGGGCGTGGAGGAGAAGGCAGAGAGGGTGGTGAGAACTCAGCCACAGATGAAGGTGGGAAGGGGAAGTCTAGGGGAAGGTGCCGGCTTCTGAGCACCAAAATGAGGAGCAAGGAAGCAGACCACGTTTAGGAGAAGACTGATTTCCACTGTGGACCACTCACAGAGAACCTTGCAGAGCTGCAGCCAGTGGGGTGCTCAGAATGAGGTTTGGAAGCTAAGAGAGAGATAAATTTGGCATTTATTTGATGATCTATTAGGCAGGATAGAAAAGGCTACAACTTAGAAAACAATCTTGGGACTTCTCTGGGAGTCTAGTGGTTAAGACTCCATGCTTCCAATGCAGGGGGCACAGGTTCAATCCCCAGTCGGGGAGCTAAGATCTCACATGGGGAATGGCCAAAAAAAAAAGAAAAGGAAAGAAACCAATCTTGATATCGCAGCATCCTAGCAAAAAAGGAAATTTATCTCCTGTGCATACAAAATTCACCATGGGACGGCAGAGGCTGTCCCCCAACCAGTGATTCAGAGACCTGGGTGACCTGCATCTTACGTGCCGCCATCTCAGCGTGCAACTTCTGAGGTCGCCACAGCAAGAGAAGGAAGGGCCGGAGGAGGCAGACCTGCGGGCTTCCAGAAGCGACAGGCACAGTTGCTGCTCACAGTTCATTGACCGGAACTGGTCACGTGGACTCACCCCAGCTGCAAGGCTGGGGTGTGCAGGGGAGGTCACGGTGGCGAGCTGCGAAAGCGCCGAGGAGGAAGAAGAGAGGAGCAAACGGTCCCCCGCCTGGAGCCCCAGAGGGAGCCCTAGTGCTTGAGGAGCAGGTGGAAGAAAAGAAGCCCCAGAGGAGGGCAGCAGGTGGGCAGAGAAGGAGAGGAGGGCACATGGTCCCGGAGGGCGAGGCAGCCGAGACTCCAGGGTGGGCCCGTGTCTCCTCCTGACCGCCCCTGCATTCCCGATTTTTTGTCGTGCTTTCCCGATGCTTTTGTCGTCCTGAAATCTCCTTCAGGAGGTACTCCCTCCATTCACAGGTGCAGACACTAAAGTTGGGAGAGCTGAGTGTGACTTGGGCACCTGCGTCACAGAGGCAGAGCTGGGCCCAGCTGTCCACCTCCCTGGATGGTGTGCACAGACTGCCCCTGCCCTCCAAGCTCGGACCACACCCCACCCCGCCCCAACTTTCCCAAGGACAAGCTCAGAAGGGACAGTGGAGGTGGTTTACAGGGCTCTCGGGAAACCACACCTCCCCTAACTTCCTAGGTTGACCAGGATGGTGGTGGAGAGGGTCTTCTGGGGCCTTTCGAATCTTGACAAACCTCTTGACTCTCCAGGCCTCAGGTTCCTCCTCGGCTACTGTATGCGTGAGAGGGCAGAGTGGATGGTCGGTGGGGTCCTGCCCCACTTAGACATCAGTTCTATACCTACTTCGCCAGTGAGTCCATCTCCCACCCCGTGACAGAGGGCAGGGCTGGCAGGCCCACCCAGGACTGGCCCCCGGCTCCCCAGCCACCCCCATCGTCTCTCCATCCCCCTCCACTGCCCCCCAACACCAATAAAACCTCTTCCTCCAATGACAAACAGGCCCGCAGGGGCTGGGGATGCCAACCAAGGGTCTGATTTGCATACTCAAGCCCCTCCCCCACCCTTAGTGTGTGCACAGTTGCCATAGCAACCAGCCCCAAAAGCCTCTTCTCTGCAGTCGCCTCCCCTTTCTGTACCACTGGAATGTTGGCCGCCTACCCAGGCTCTGGGGGCTCAGAGCTCAGTACTTCCATTAATGAATGAAGAAACTGGGGCCCAGAGAGGGAAAGCAACTTGCCCAAGGTACACATCGAGTTAGCAGCCAAGCCTTTACTTAGAGCCCAGGTCTCCTGGTTTCAAATCCAAGCTGCTCATCATCCTGGAGTGGGGGGGTGGGTAATGGGGCAGATGGGGGCTACTCCCCATCCAAAAACCAGAACACTACATCCATGCTCGCCTCGGGCCTCTAGGGAAGACCTCGAGAAGCTGCAATGAAGAAATGAGCCACTGGACTTTGGGCAGAGACTCAGTGATAGAACCGAACACTGGGGGTGGGGGTGAGGCTGTGGAGGTGGCGATTCAGCTAAACAGGTCCCTCTGGGTCTCCGGTCCAATCCCCTCCCCCCAGTCCAGTCATTCAACAATATTTATTATATGCTATGTGCGGGGACTGTTCTAGATTCAGCTTAAACTGACATTTGTGATTTGTAATCAAGCTAACAAAAAACTCCTGCCCTGGTGGATCAGACCTTCTGGTGGGAGGATGAAGACAAGGAACAGACCACAGGCACGTTAGGATGACCTCCGAGATAAAGCAGTGGAGGGAATGCTTGCTACTTGACTGAGGGTGATCTGGGAAGTCCTTTCAAAACCTACCTGTCCTCATTCCACACCTTCAGAGCAGTTGAGGTCTTGAAACCTGACTCCTATATTATGACCAACCATTGCTGTGTTTGGGGAGAACGTGCTTTGACCCAGAAGCCTGAGGCTTTAGCAGTAGACTTTGCAGTAGCACAGATGACAGGCTGGAAGATGTTTGGGGGCAGGGGCCTCCCTGAAACGACCTGAGCAGCTGCCTTGTCTGTTCCCAGCATGGTCTGCAGGCTCCAGAGTCTGATTTCAGATGCCTAGAAAGGATCGCCCCCCCACCACTCACAGGCACCAAAATAATGACTAAAGTGCAGTAAATGGAAGATAAAGAGCTCAGAGCTAGAGAGAACACCAAGTCACAAGTTCCTGAGAGAGAACCAGGTGCCCAGCTTGGCTGGTAGACCCTTTTCTGGGGAAGGAGTTTTGTTGAAATTTTCAAACATACGTAGCAGGAGAATAGTATCATAAGCTCTCAGATGTCTGAGCACAGCTCAAGAATCATCAACTCGGGATTTCTCTGGTGGTCCAGTGGTTAAGAATCTGCTTTCCGATGCAAGGGACACACAGGTTTGATACCTGGTTAGGAAATTAAGGGGCTTCCCAGGTGGCGCTGTGTAAAGAATCTGCCTGCCAATGCCGGAGATGCAAGGGACGCAGGTTCAATTCCTGGGTCGGGAAGATCCCCTGGAGTAGGAAATGGCAGCCCACTCCAGTATTCTTGCCTGGAAAATTCCATGGACAGAGGAGCCTGATCGGTTACAGTCCATGGGGTCGCAAAGAGTCGGACACAACTGATCACAGAAAGAGCCCAAGCATGCAGCAATGAAGACGCAGAGCAGCCCCCAAAATTATCAACTCAGGGTCACTCTGGTTTCAGCTCCATGCCCTTTCTGCCCACTGGAAGCCTCTGGCTTTTCAGGAATACTGGAACTGGTTTTATAAGGAAAGGACTGGAAGAACAGAAGCTCCCCTTCCCCAAACCTAACCTGAAAGAGGAGGACTCCAGAAGTGGGGGTGGGGGCAGCCAACAAGGGGGGAGTCTTGGATAGAGTAGTCAGGGCAGACCATGAAGTTAGGAGGCCCCTGGGGTACCTGCCCCGAGGACAGGGCTCCTAGGCCTGCTGATGGAGCAGAGGGTCCTGACCGAGGGAGCCAAGTCCCATTTCCCGCCCCAACTTCATCTCTTTGTTTTCTTTCCCTCCTCTTTTCCCCCCTCACTCACAATAAAAACATAATTATGGGCTTTATAAAAAAAAAAAAAAAAGGCAAATTATGGTGACATGCTTTAATTATCTGCCAAGCAATGGCGGGCTGAATTACACAGGCACGGCCCTGGAGGTTACCTAAAAATAAAGCAAGAAGCCTCATTAGATGCTAATTGCTGCTTTTGCCCACTGAAATGAGATTTTGGCACCGTGCACAATTCAGCCCTGGGGTATCTGCAGAGAGGTCCAAGCCCGGGGAAGCCCAGAGTGCCAGGGCCAAGGCCTGTTGGGCATCGGGGCAGGGCAGGCACAGGGGCGGGGGCGGGGCGCTCATGCCCGAGGACAGCCCCTCAGTGTCCCCTCAATGCTCAGTGGCTGGATGGAAACCCCAGGCTGGGGGAAGGGCACCCAAAAAAGAAAAGGGTCCACAGGACTTCCCTGGTGGCCCAGTGGTTAAGATTTTGCTTTCTGATGCAGGGGGTGCGGGTTTGATCCCTGGTCAGGGAACTAAGATCCCACATGCCTCATGGCCCCAGAAAACACAAACAATATTGTAACAAATTCAATTCAGTTCAGTTCAGTCACTCAGTCCTGTCTGACTCTTTGCGACCACATTGACTGCAGCAAGCCAGGTTTCCCTGTCCATCACCAACTCCTGGAGCTTGCTCAAACTCATGTCCATTGAGTCGGTGATGCCATCCAACCATCTCATCCTTTGTCGGTCCCCTTCTCCTCCTGCCTTCAATCTTTCCCAGCATCATGGTCTTTTCCAATGAGTCAGTTCTTCACATCAGGTGGCCAAAGTATAGAAACTTCAGCTTCAGCACCAGTCCTTCCAATGAACATTCAGGACTGATTTCCTTTAGGATGGACTGGATGAATCTCCTTGCAGTTCAAGGGACTCTCAAGAGTCTTCTCCAACACCACAGTTCTAAAGCATCAATTCTTCTGCGCTCAGCTTTCTTTATAGTCCAACTCTCACATCCATACATGACCACTGGAAAAACCATAACTTTGACTAGACGGACCTTTGTTGGCAAAGACATGTCTTTGCTTTTTAATATGCTGTCTAGGTTGGTCAGTAAAGACTTTAAAAATTGTCCATGAGTACTAAGTCATTTCAGTCGTGTCCGACTCTACGACCCCATGGACTGTAGCCCCACAGGCTCCTTTGTCCATGAGATTCTCCAGGCAAGAATACTGGAGTGGGTTGCCATTCCCTCCTTCAGGGGATCTTCGTAACCCAGGGGTTGAACCCGCATCTCCTGCAGATCCTGCATTGCAGGCGGATTCTTTACCGCTGAGCCATCCAGGAAGCCCAAAAATGGTCCACATCAAAAAAAAAAAAGAAAAAATATTTTTTAAAAAAAGAGGCCCCCCCCAAAAAATAAAATAAATAAAATTTTTAAAAAATTAAAAAAGAGGCCCATTAATCTGACCTCTGGCTGGGGAGGGGTCCCACAGTCCCCTTAGAAGATAAGCATCCTCCTGTGGGCTCCCAAGGACACTTCCCTGGGCCTGGAGGCTGAAGTGGGGCAATGCTCCTAGAGTGGGGCTACGAGACAACTCTCTGGCCCCCCTGCCTCTCCTTCCAGGGACCGAGAAGGCACGATGGAAGAAACAGACCCCAGGACATCGGAACTCAGAACCAGCCCCCCTGAGCTGGAAGGGATCCGAGCTTGGATACTGCTCCTGCAGCTGAGCTCCCAGGGTCCCAGGAATTCCACAGAGGTGGCCCGTGTGCCCTGCTAGCCTGGGAGCCCAGTGGACCCCTGCTCAGGGCAGTTATCAGCTTAGTCTTGGTTTTGAGCCTCAGAAAGCGTTTTAGTGGCATTGTCCCCACGCTGGCTACAGAAACCCCAAGGGCTGGTACCACCCCTGGCTTGCTCACTACTGTGTCCCGGGGCCTGGCTTGTACCTGCACGCGAGCATGCGCGCCCAGTCGCTTCAGTCGTGTCCGACTCGTTGCTGCCTTGTGGACTGTAGTCCACCAGGCTCCTCCGTCCATGGGATTCTCCAGGCAAGAATACTGGAGTGGGTTGCCATGCCCTCCTCCAGGGGATCTTCCCAACCCAGGGATCGAACCCTGGTCTCTCCCACTGCAGGCGATTCTTAACTGTCTGAGCCACCAGGCAAGCCCACGTAGTACGTAGTAGGCACTTAGTATCTGTTGAACGAATACGGGAAGCGTTAGTACCAGATTTGTCTGGCTTTCCCCAGACTTTCTTGGTTTTAGCACTGAAAGTCCAGGAGCCCAGGAACTCCCTGAGACCCCAGAAACGCTAGGTCGGAACTCCACCCTCCATCTGTCGCACATAAACATATTTCAATCCCACATGTTGGCCTTTTAACACACAGCTAGTGTTAGGTAGCTTGGTCTTGCACTGGAGTGAACTACAGGGCCTGTACATGGACTTAAGGACCCTACCCCAGAGCTTCTGGTCCAGCCAGCCTGGGTTGGGGAGAAACCCATAATTTGATTTCCTCCTTTTTTTTGCCCATGGCCATGCCAAGCAGCAGGCAGGATCTTAGTTCCCTGACCAGGGATCGAACCCATGCCCCCTGCCTTGGAAGCACAGAGTCTTAGCCACTGGACCGCCAGGGAAGTCCACCATAATTTGATTTTCTAACAAGTTCTCAGAGATGCTGATGCAATGCTGATGCTGATTTAAGATTCTGCTGAGGGAACACTGATTTCCCTAGCCCACTGAGCTGTCCCTGATCCCCTGGGGAGCTTGTAGAGCAGACCTATGCCGGCCCCACCCAGGGGACCTCAGATGGAGTCCTTCTGAATGGTTCTGGTGAGGTTAGAATCTCCACTAGGTAATCCTGGTATCTTGCCCTGGGCAGGGCGGGGGCTGCCTCTGACCTCACCCTGGGGCCTCTCCGAGGCTGAGGCCCTGGGGAAGGGCTGAGCACAGCGCAGAGCAAAGGTCTCCAGGGGGCCAAGGACACTGCAGATCTCCCCATCTTACTGAAATAGAAAATTCTGAAGATACAAGTATCTGTCCACATTTCTTGGGTGTCCCTTGAGACTGGGAATCAATAATATGGGATGGAGAGCAAAGATGGGCAGTCAACTGGCCCGGGACGGTCTCCCCACAATGTGCGTCAGGGCAGGCCCCATCCGCACGCATTTGTGGGCCCCCAGCCCCAGCCTCACGGGACTAGGTCTCCATCGTGATGGGCCCCTGGGACGCCCGCCATCTCACAGAGCTGCAGCAGGCCTGCCTCTCAAAAGTCCTGCTGGCAACGGGTCCTTCCTCCTCATCTCTGGACCATCTCTGGACCTACTCACCTCTCCTCTGTACACCAGGCCCCTGCTGGGAATGCACAGCCCACCCAAGGCTTCTCCACTTAACCCACTCACCGCCGCTGTCATGTTGCTTTGGGACATCAGCATTTCTAGAGCCCCAGGCAGGCCGGCCTAAGCCCCACGCAGAGCCCACCCGCTCTGGCCCTCAGCCTCCTCCTCCCTCTAGGAGGCCTTGAACTGCCCTCCTCTGAGTGCCAGGGGGACAGAGGGGGCAGCACCCGCCTTGGAAGGAACATGACTCTCCCCGGAACCTAGAAGGGGGCCCCACAGACACGGGGGACACCTGGGGAAGTCCCGGGCTGAGTGTCAAGCCCTTGGGTTCCAGGCCAGGCCCTCGGTCCAGACCCAGCCCGGCAATCACTGTAGAGGACCTGGGCCACTGAGGGGACAAGGTGCCCAGGCAGGGGGTGCGGTCGGAGAGCTGCCCCCCTTCCACATCCCCTCCCTCACGCCACCCCTAATACACTGCCTGGAAGCTTCTGGAAGGTGCTCGGGGACTGACAACCTAGTTTTGCACCATTCCACTGGGCAGTGAGTAGAATCTATTCCAGGTCTACCCTCGGAATAGGGGGTATCCGGGTCTATCCCCCAGGAAGTCTCAGGGACCACTCTGCGAAAGCAAGATGATGGTGTGAGACCCCTTCCCCCACTCCCTCCCTTACACACATATCTATTGAGCACATAGTAGGCGCTGCACACACACACACACAGTCTCACAGGACTCCCGGGCACAGCCCGCCCCCCAGGAGGACGGAGGGGCCTGACACGTGATTGAACGCCCACCTCACCTCCCACACACGCCCACACCTGCCCCACACCTGGGTCCCGCCAGCCCCCACCAGGCCCCTCCAGGTATCAGAGGAAGCGGGACTTGGGGGGGCCGGGAAGGAAGGGGCGGCTCCGGCAGCTGCCGCCTGGGGCCTCGCTGTGTCGCTGGCCCTGTAATTTACCCCTGGCAGGGCCCAGCCCCTGATCAGCTCGCTCCCCACCTCCCAACCTGCCACGGATGCCAGCTGCTGTGAACACACGCTTCCACTTGCAGGGGGCGGCATCCTCGTGACATGGGTGTGATGTGGACTCACACCCACTGGAGCCTAAGCAGACAGACACCCCCACAAGACAAATGAGCTTGCCTATGGAGGTTCAGGAGTACGCGCGCACACACACACACACACACACACACACAGAGACAAAACAGACAGACGCACAGGGCTCGGGGAGACACACATATACTCCTGTGCATGCACCTGGCCCACTTGGCCACGAGCCACACACTCATCACAGGGCAGCCACACACCGTCCTAGCACCTGTGGCCTGGAGACAGGACGGGCAGGAGGGGGGCGCTCTGGGTGCTAGGAACCCTGGACCCAGTGTCTCAAGAGGAGCATCTCCTGGCTGGGAGGGAAGGAGCGGATCAGGTTACGGTTGGCCCCCCTGCCCAGGGACTCTCCAAGACCCCACCTGAGGCCAACCCAGGAAGCAGCCTCACTGCCCCCAGCCCTGCATCCCTGTCACCCAGTTCCTCCTTCCCTGCAACCACAGGGCCTCCAGCTTCGGGCTGAGCCAGGGGTCCGACCGCAGGCCCCTCAGTGGATGTGGAGCCGGGGTGCAAAACCATGTGTTTATTTTTATTAGAAATGTTCTTGGTATAAAAACAATCATGCGCTACACATTGTCAATAACCATCACCAGACACCCAGGCACTGAACTCCGTGTCATCGGCAGGAGGGGCAGGCGGGCAGGCGGGCAGGACACACGGCAGACAGGCGGGGGGGCAGGCGGGCAGGCTGCGGGCCACGGGGACGCACACAGAGGCCACCAGGAGGACGCGGCACTTGGCAACACACTCGAGATTTGTTTTTGTTTTGGCTTTTTTGTGTTTTGATTTTTTTTCCCCTTTTTTTCTCTTTAGCGACATGTAGGATTTGGCGAATCGGCAAGAGATGGCAGGGAGAGGGAAATGAAGGTGAGGAGGAGGCTGAGGACAGGAAACAAAAATGAGAGGAGAGATGGGCGGAGCACAGGAGAAAAGACGGGGAGAGCTGGAGACGGCAGAGAAAAGGCAGAGACAGAAAGAGAGGAGATACAGAAAAAGCAGAGAGCGCATAGACAGAGACACACGGTGAGAAAAGGTGATACAGAGAGAGGAGAGAACGCAAGACTGGGATGGAGACTAAGTCACCAACAGGACAGGCAGAGACAGGGAGAAAACCAGCGCCAGGGGGCCTCCCAACCTGAGCCTCGGTGGTTTGGGGTGGGGAGGGGCCGTGGTCCAGGACGCAGGTGCTCAGGGGGCCTGAGGCTTTCCAGCACCCCCAGCCTCCTCCTGGCCCCGGCCCGGCTTGTCCAGGGCACCCAGCAGTGACCGCCGGGGGTCCCACTGTCAGCAGCACCAAGCCATGTCCACGGGCGCCCAAAGGCAGGAAGGACATCGGCTGGGCCCCTGGGCGTGGCCCTGGCCCGACGCACCATCCACCAGGGTCTCCGTCCTCTTCCTCCTGGGTGGCTCCAGGGGCTGAGCTAGATGGCGTGGTTGGTGTAGGTGACGTAGGTCTGTTTGGTGGCCAGCGCTGGAAGGAGAGAGACCAAGGAGCGAGGAGTCAGGGGTTATCTTCATCCAACGCCCCTTCCACAGGCATGGCCCTGCCCAGGGCATCAGCACCCACCCCACCCACTGCGGCGCTTCCCCCAGACCCATCCCGCCCACCCCCATACCAGGGCTGCTGGCCTGGCGGGCCCATCCGTCTTCACCCTGTCCCCCTAGGCGGACCCTCCTTGGAGCTCTCCCTGCTGACCCCATCCCTCTGTGGGTGTCACCCCCCACCCCACGGAGTCCCTGCATCCTCCTGATCCCACCAGGATTTAAGAGGATCGTGTTTATCTGTGATATCATATAGCCTTCAAGTATGACCAGGGGAGAGTTTTTCAGACATTAAACACACACTTTGGAAACGCACATGTAAAGAATACACACAGACACACTGCCTTGGGGGAATGAGCAGAAATGCAGACAGAGGAGATAACAGAACCAGAGAGGGGCCTCAGGGGGCTGGGCACTGGGGCATGTGGCTGACTCGGCCCTACTCCCACCCCCGGGGAGAGGGAAGTCCTCGGGGGCCCTCAGCCTCATGCAGCCTCGTCCCCCGCCCCCCTATCGGGGAACTATCTCACCCCAGCCCTGAGCACCTCTTATCTGCATGTGTCACTCTGGCTCCCGCTCACCCACCACGGGGGCCAGGGCTGCCTCTCTGGGTGTCTCCCCTACCCCCAGCCATAGTTAGGGGACCATGTCAGCTGCCCCCCACCCCGACCCCAGGCGTCCCGAGTGCCTCCACTCGCTGGAGTTCAGCCTCGGGAAGAGGCCAGGTGAGCATCACCCTCTTGGAACACTGAGGAGCTGAGACCAGAGGGGTGAGGAGCCAGCCCAAGTCCTGGGGTTTTTCCTGTCCTGCCAGTGTTCAGGGTCTCCCTCTATGACCTGCAGACACCTTTGGGGAGTCAGGGAGACTGGTCTGTGGTGCCAAGAGAGTAGATTGGATGGGGGACATCATGGCACCCTCGGTCATAAAACTGCCTTGACTGTCAGGACCCTAACAGCTCAGGACAGCGGGGAGCATCTACTGGGCAAAGCCAGGGGTGTCTGCCTGGAGAAGGTAACGTGGAAGATAGCAGGATGGTGGGCGGCACCCTGACCACCCCCAGCTGTCTATCTACCAGTTTTCACTGCCAAGTTAAGGACCATATTTCCCAGACTCCCTTGCAGCCCGGAGTGGCCTCGTGTGACCACATTCCTGCTAATGACAAGTGTTAAGGGCTGTGCGCAGCATCCATACCATTTGATGAAAATAGACTGTTCCCATGCACAAGGAGGGGGAAATGGACCTTTATTGTTTTAAACCACTGAGATTTGGCAGAATTATTTGTTACCATGAAATGATCAAGCTCATTCTTTGGGGGGGAAAAAAAAAGACTGTTTCCTCCCTACTTCCCCTCTTTTCTTTTCCGTGGCCAGAAGAGACATCGAGGTCGAGTACCCCAGCCATGAGGATGACGACAACCCTCTAGGACCCGCCAGAAAGACACACGGAAGGAACCCAGGTCCCTGCTGCTACAGGGAACCCAGGTCCCTGCTCCCGCCATGCACCACGCGGTCAGAGAGAAACAAATCTGATTTGAGCCGCTCTGTCCTGGGGCCTCTTTGTCATAGCAGCTCACTCATACAGGCAGGACTGCGGCAACCCTCACTCAGAGGGGCCCCCGGGTGTGGAAAGAAGCAAAGTTGCCAGGATGGGGTGAGCAGGGGGGACACCAGGGGACCAGCGGGGAGGATCAGGAAGAACTGTCTCCTGGCCCGGGCTGAGAGTGGCCTTGTGAGGTAGGCGAGCTGAACTAGTCCGTGTCAGCAGACATATCCAAGCAGAAGATTAACCATCACTGGGCAGGGGCAGGGAGATTCAGGTCTTAGGTGCCACCTGGACAGGTGCCACTGGAAGGCAGTGGTGTCCACGACACCCAGGACAGCATTGAGCACCCAGCACAGCACCGCATGGAGTGTGAAGGACACCCACCTTCATTTCTAAAACAGCCTACGTCCCGGGAGGCTGGAGGACCAAGGGTGGAGAAGGAGCACGGCTGTGACCTCAGGCAGTTCCTCCCCCGCCCTGTGAGGTCTCCCGGCCTACAGCAGGAGGGGAGCGGCCCTTTCTGCGGAGACTTCCTTCCCTTCAGCCGCCCCCACCTCTCCACCCACTCTCTCCCCCAGTCTCAGAAAAAGAGCCAGCCGCTGACTGTGACTCTCACGTCCACGGGCCAGGCTACTGAGCATCAGTTCTCCAGGGCTCCATCACCCCTTGGGTGAACTGATCAAACTGAATTTTCAAACCTGTAAACCCATCGGCAGCTCCCGGCTCAGAGGGGAAGGAAAACCTCAGCAGCAAGATCGCCGCTGACTGCAGGGACACAGAGCCTGAGGTGGGGGCGGTGGGGGTGCGGAAGAGCGGCGGGGACAGAGAAAGTGGGGGTGGGGGAGGGACAGCTGGGCCCCTCCTCTCCTTCCAAGACCAGAGCTGCCTCCTCTAGAAAACCCAATCCGTGGGTTTCAGAACCTGGAAGCGCCTTCAACCCTCTGCTATAAGCCAGCAGCCCCAGAGCCCTTCAACGGAGCCTCAGACTAACCTTCTGGAAAATGGGAGCAATGATTCCACCCACAGCCCCCAGGAGCTGAGGCTCAAAAGGAAGAGCTCTGGCCATGAGTCAGGACACTTGAGGTCCAGCCCTGCCCTCACTGGTGTAGGGGATCTCAGCCCCTGCCACGCGGACTTTCTAACAAAGTGAACCGCTCAGAACCTCAACTCCCTCATCTGTAAAATGGGGTGATCATAAGCCCTTACCTGCTCTCAGAAACTGGGTAGATAGAAATACTCCCTAAACCCTGAAAAATGGTAGGTGAAGGGGCCGGGCTAAGATATCGATGAGGACAGGATGGGGCTAGCGACACTCCAGGGGTGGCAGCAGCGTGGAGGGGGACGGGCGGAGGTGTGGCCCAAGGGCCCCAAACCATCCCTCACTGATGATGCCTGGCTGCTGGCTTTCAGTGCCGCTGCCTCAGCTAACAATTAGCTGGGCAGTGGCGGCACGAGCTGTCAGCCCCCATTTGTCGTCCCCATGTTTTCTCGCCTAATCTGCCTGCAATCGGGCCCCTGAATTATTTATTCTGTTGTTTGTTTAAAGATACGTGGCCTGCCAGTGACAGAGTGAAAAATGTCCCTGCTCCACGGAATGACACCTCCCCACTCCTCCGGCTCACACCCCCACGATCTGGCTGTTCCCAGAATTAATCACCCGGCTCCCGCTCGGGGCCTCCATGGCCGCTGTTGTCCCCGAGCTGAGAAGGTGGGCCTCCAGTCCTCAGTGCAGGGGGCCGTGGGGAGGACCAGCTCTCACCCTGCTCTCTCGGGAAGCAGGAGGCTGGGAAAGCTGAGTCTCCCTTGCCAGACCTGCACAGTGACCCCTCCCTGTCCCCTGTCCTCAGGTCCAGCCCAAGTAGAGGCAGAGGCAACAGTGTTAGCCCTGGGGTTCCCTCTGGCCGGTCACAGCGCCATGCACGCCACCCTCCGAGGTCAGGGTGCTCTCTCCTGCTAGACACAGGGGTCTGAGTGGGCTGATACCCCACTTGCTCTCATGAGCCCTGGAGCAAAGTGGGGCCTGGAGGGATGGGACCCAAGGAGGGTGAGTCTCCCTGGGAAGGAGGAAAAGGAAGTCTGGAGTGTGGGGTGGGAAGCAGTGAGGGGTCCCTGCTCAGGACAGAAGGACCTCGTTAGGGGCTGCACTGGGGGTTCTGCACATCTGAGTGGACACGAAAGACCAGAGGCGGGAAGGCCCATGAGGACACCGCCCCTTCCCATCACAGGCGGAGGGTCCACATGGCATCTGAAGGGAGCCCCAGGCTGTGTGTAGGTACAGGGAAGTTGGAAAGAAGGGTACATTGTAGAGAATAACATGTCATTTGGTGGACGGTATGGCCAAGTGTTATCAGGGGTGTCAAGCAAAGGAGGGGTGTACTGGCAGCCAGGTACTCGGCTCTGCACAGAGAGATGGGGAGGACATATGGAGTCAGAGTCAAGAGAAAGACACTGCATGGGGCCAGCTAGTCACTAGCTTGCTGTGTGACCTCAGGAGATCCAGCCCAAGCCAGGCCTCACAGGACTGCTGTGAAGACCATTCAAAGGGGAGAGATCTCTGGGAAGTGAAAAGATCTGTATGGATGTGGGGAGGGACTTTCCTCCTTTTTACTTTTTCTACAGGTGGGAATGACTGATAAGGGAATATTCTTCAGCCAGAGCCCCAGGGCGGGGAGCCTGCAGGAGGGGCTATCCCAGCCCAAACACCTGCTAGGGAGGTCTCCTGTTTCTCCTGATCTCTTGGTGGGTGACAAAGGGGCCCCTCTCTGGAGCCTGTGATCGCCAATCTCCCTCCTGCTGCTCCCAACAATGTCCACTTGCGGCCTTTCCCCCAGAACTAGAGGGCGGAAGCGGAGTGCTGCCTCGAAGGGCCAGAATCTGAACCTCGCCTGGGAAAGGGGCTCTTCGTCTCTTCTGCCACCAACAGAAGGCCCCCAAGACTCTCAGAAAGCAGGGAGGCAGGAAGGGCTGCTATTTTAACCATTCGGACCTTTACAGGGGGTCCAGGGAGGGAGTCAAGGTCTGCAGTGGGACCACAAGTACCCCCCCACCCTGTCCACCTGGAAGCAGTCGGCAGTGTGGCCCGTACAGTCCCAGCCCACAGGCCAGAGGCCTCGGTCTCTACTTAGAGGCAGCGGGATATCACCTGCCGCCATGTGGCCCGGGAGCCCCTCACCTCTGAGCCTTCCTATTCTCATCTATTGTCTAGTCGCTCAGTTGTGTCCAGCTCTTTTGTGATCCCACGGGCTGCAGCCCACCAGGCCCCTCTCTCCATGGGATTTCCCAGGCCAGAATACTGGAGTGGGCTGCCATTTCCTTCTCCAGGGGATCTTCCCCACCCAGGGATCGAACCCGGGTCTCCTACATTGTAGGTGGATTCTTTACCATCTGAGCCACCAGGGAAGCCCTTCCTCATCTATAGCCTCAAATAATTAAAAGTCACTGCTTTCAAGGCTGCTGTGAAGATGAACAGTGGCTCCTGGCAGGTGTGGCCCACAGTGGGGGTTCAAGAAATGGTCCCCACTCTTACTGGTCCCTGGAGGCCCAACCTGTCCCCCGCATGCCCTGCCTCTCTCTCCTTGGACATCTCCCTAAGAACCACAGCTCTGCAGGCCCTGTTCCCCACCCCAGGCCTCACTTACCCATTCCAGGACCGGTGTCCTGAGTCCCCCACTCTCAGGATCCTGCCTTGGGGCAGCTGGACAAAGCCAAGCTGAGGGATTTCAACTGCTTCCAGACAGTGCCCCCCTCCCCAGGGAGACTGAAAGGGCACAGGCCCGGATGTGGACGCCAAGGTGGAGAAATCCCGGAGTCTCAGGTCACCTGCCTGAACCAGGCCCCCCATGGCCTCTTCCTAGGTGGGAATAGTTCCCGGGAAGAGAGAGGCAAGAGTTCCCCTCCCAGGACAGGGCGGGGCAAAGCGGGCTAAACTGGTGCCTCGAGGCTCTCCTGGGTGGGAACCCCGCACGTTGGCCTCAGGGCTCTCCCAGTGACCCCACTGGACCAGACTTAGTTGGGAGCGGGGAAGCGCAGACCTGCCCCAGGAAGAGGGTGGGGCCTAGGCTGGCTAAGCGGGAGAGGGGCGGGGCCTGGGCTGGTCCAGCGGGAAAGGGGCGGGGCCTGGGCTGGCTCAGCGGGAGAGGGGCGAGGCCGGGCACTCACCGGGGGCTTCCAGGTTCTCACAGAGCTCGGACTTGGCCTCGCCGTTGGGCCGGAAACTGCCTTTCTGCGTGAACTTGTTGGACATGGTGGCGGCGGTGACGACGGCTTTGAGGCTGCGCTTGCGCTTGGGCACGTTCTGCTCCGGGTGGAAGAGGATGATGTAGACCTTGGGCATGTAGAGCATCCCCAGGGACACCGAGGCGCTCAGACTCACCGAGACCGTCAGCGTCGTCGTCTGGATGTACAGCTGGGGGCGGGCCGGGGGCGGTGTCAGGGCGTGCTCTGCCCCAGGCCCCCGGGGGGCCCTGTCCGAAGCCCACCCCTCAGACAGACACAGCTGGGGACCCCTCCCTGTGTCTTGCTGGTTTCAGGCGGAAGAGAGCCATGGTATAGAGCCTGGATTCATCCTGGCTCCACCACTGTCACTACGTGATCTTGGACAAGCCACATCCTTTGGGCCTCTGTTTCATCAGGCATGAGAGTTCTAGTCCTTACCTCATAGGGTTGCTGTGAGTTTGAAATGACTTAATAAATGGCAAAGGCATGTAAAATAATATCTGGCATGTGGTCGGTGCACACAAGTGTTCACTGTTATGTGCTGGGCAGAGGGCCAGGGGTGGGGCTCTCAGGGGACAGCTGACCCTCCCCTGAAGCAGCCCCCTGCACAGGGCTGGGAGTGAGGTGAACATCGGGGGTGCCTTGTAGTAGCTCCCAGTGGCCATGGCACAGAGCCGTGGCCAGGACCCCCATTCAGTGACTGTCCCCCCCCCATGCCACTCTGCAGAGCAGGTGGCTGGCACAGGAGCCATGGCACCGTCGTGATCCACTGATGGCAGCCCAGTCAAAGCTCATTTCACGCTCACTCGCCAGCACTAACAGTGACAGATGTTTAGCAAAATGAAAGCCCATTAATCTGGGTGTCGGGTAATCCATTCTTCAATAGTGGGGCCTTCCAGGCAGGGCCCTACAATTCCCACCGCCCCAGCCTGGGATCCCCTCCCCGCCTCCTCCTTCCCTCCTGGGCCTCCAGGTCTCAGCTGCCCCTCTGGCCTCCTCAGCTAGGGTGGGGCCAGAGGAAGCCCAGGCTGTGGCCCCCAGGTCTATGTATGGGAAAGCAGAAAATGCTCTCTGCCTCCTAGATCTGCTGTTTCTGAGCCTGGGATCCCTCCCCTGGGGCCTGGTTAATGTACCACCTCCTCCAGGAAGCTCTCCCTGACTCCCAGATCCTAGCCAATCCCCCAAGACAGCCTTTACTCCTTGCACCCAGCCCAGCAGTGGGGGACCCAGGTCTAGACTTGAGTCCTGAGGTCACAGGAGCCCTAGCCTCATTGAAAAGGCTCCTGAAGAGAGGGGCCAGGTCCTCTTGTTCTCATATTCTCCCCATCCCCTGCCCCTCCCCATAAATACCTCATGACCTGAATCTGAAGGCCTGCATCTCAGCCACCCTTCCCTAGGGTTCTTGCCTTTGGAAAGGAGCTGGAGAAGTTGGAGGGTCTGAGAGGAGAGAGCTGTGTGACACTGGGGAAGTCTCATCCCCTCTCCAGCCCTCAATTTTCTCATCAGCACAATGGGATGATAGCACCTACCTCACCCAAACCACAAGGATACCCAAGCACAGACTATGAGGTCACATGAAACTTACAGGGCATTGAAAGAGGGTGCGGGGGAGGAGGCTGGGAGTGTGGCGAGGCCACCATTCAGAAAATGTCACAGACCCAGGGAAATGAGAGCCTGTTCCCCAGTGAGCACACATGCCTCTGTCCTCACACACGACCCACACTCTCACCCATGGGCACAGGACTACCCCCCAGCATGCGGACAGGAAAGGTCATGACAAGCCAGTGGAGGGTGCCGGTCACCTCTCCCACCCCGGAGATGGCATTGGGGCCCCAGGGTGGAAGGGGTGAAGGGGTCCAGGCTCCAGAGTATCATAACAGACCCTTGGAGAAGATAGTGGAGGTCTGAATTCAGCAAGAACAGGCATGTTATCTGGGTCTTCACCATTGACTAGGGGTTCCCTGGGGACAAGGCATGCCTCTGTCATTAGATTTGGGGGTCCCTGAGGGCAGGGGTGTCTCTTCTTTCACAATGGGGATTCTTGGGTATATTTCCAGGGTAGATTCATCTTAGGTCATTTGCCCCCACCTTGGTGATGGGGGGAGGTACCGTTGGGCCAAAATGAGGTTGGTGGGACAGGGCTCAAGGACCCCTGTCTGGGCGGAGTGAGGCCTTCAGTGGACACAGTCCTGGGTGGGAGTCCGGGGACTGGGTTCCGGACTCCACTCCACCCTGACCCACTGAGGGATGCTGGGCCCCCTCCACCAACACAGGCAGAGCTTGCTCCATGGGCACGCACACTGGGTTTAACACCTTGAGTTGTAATTTTTGAACAAGGGGCCTTCATTCTCATTTGGCACCAGGCCCTGAGAACTATGGAGCCAGCCCTGCACACAGGCCTCAGCGTTTTCAGCCTCGGAGCCTTTCGGCATACAAGGAGGGGTAGAAAGACGCCAAACTTGAACAAAGCTGCCCCCCATCTGTTGGAGTCCCTCCCCTGGGGGCTTCTATCACCGTCCCCAGGCTGGGGGTGGCCGGCCCTGTGCACAAAAGTGGGGTTTGCACCCCACCACTGGCTCCAGCATCAATCGGGAGCCCCCCCAGAAAAAGGTACTCATGGTCACCAGGAGGTGGTAGCATGTTAACCCTATCAGAAAAGCAGCGGTCCTCTGAACCTCCAGCCTACAGGGCTGGGGCCCAGCATAGATGCAAGTCTCCAAGGCCGGCAGAGTGAGAGGCGGCTTCCAGGATGTTCTGGTACCTTCTCTCCCCTCCGCCCATCCCCCAGTCCGAGCTGCCCCCTTCCTGCTCCCCTCTTCAACTTTGATCAGGCCCTTGCTCCTCTCGATCCTCTGCAAGGAGCCCTGCACCAGCCTCTCAGGTCCCCGCTCCCCGAGTGAACAGGCTGTCAGAGCCGGGTTTGATGGGGGGGGACAGGGGTCACCTGGGGCGGGGCAAAGGGCGTGGACAGGAGCCGCTGTGGAGGTGGAAGGTGGATTTCCTGGTTTGCCCTCAGCCTGGTGGGAGGCTCTGAAGAGTTCCTCCCACTTTGAACTGTGGTGGGTCCTGAGATCATCAGAATCTATGAACCAGAAAAATGAACTTCCCTACAACCTGGCCAGCCTCTGAGACCCACCCCGACCTGGCTGGAGCAGTAATCCCACCAGGTGGAGAGACCGCACCCAGTCAACTCAGGGGCATGGCATGTGGCTGTGCAGCTGAGCCCCGGAAATCTGGCTGCCTGCTCACCAGAGAGACACCAGCAGCCTGGGGGATGTGCACGGCCAAGCATCCGTGAGTGTGCACACTACTGGACACACATACATGCTCACAGATCCATACCCGGGTCCCCAAACGACGCCGCATTCATTCACACACCTGAACTCACAGCCACACATTCCTGACTCAGATACACCTGGGTTCTCACACACACACACTCCATGTACCTGGGTACACACCTGTACACACACACAATGTACTCACATAATCTGTACACACACCTAAACACACACCTGCACCTACACACCTGCACACATACCGCTGACCACACACACTTTATCTGCACACTCAGACACATTCGTACAGCCACGAACCCTTGGTACATACACCTGCCTATCCCCACTCAACCTGTGCACGTACACACACACAGACACACACACACACTGCCATCCGTTGCTCAGTGTGCACATAAAGGCAGGGTGCACAGTGGAGTGGGGCTCCTGTGGGGAGCTGTGTCACGGGTACAGAAGTGCATATACACATACACACTATACATACACACTTCTGTACATACACATTTCTGTACCCATATACCCATAACCCAACTCCCCACAGGAGCCTCACTCCACTCCAACTACACATGTGCATACACACACACACACACACACACACACACACACACACACACACACACCCAGCAGCCAGCAGCCGGGCCTGCAGCTTTCATTGGGGCCATTTGTAGCTCAGACGTGGCACAGCACAGATCCAAATCCAGGGTTGCCTGAGCCTCTAAGAAGCCTGGTATTCTGAGCTGGAGGGACTTCAGCACTCATGTCCCCACCCTCGCCTCATGCAGAAGCCCAGAGGAGGAGGAGGCGAATCCCATGTCAATGCCATCAGGGGCAGACCTGGGTGTCACAGCCACACACTGGTGTGGGCCAGCCTGCTGTGTGACCCGGGGCAGCTCCCTGTCCCTCTCTGGGCCTCAGAGGAGATCATTTCAGAGGCTCCTTTTCACAGTCAGTACTGAGGGGCGCCTCCTACAAAGGGAGAAATCAGAGGCAGGTGGGGTGGCCTGGGGTACTGAGAGAGGGCTGGGTGATGGAGGGGCTGGGACCAGGAGACAGGAACACGCGGGGAGCCGCGCGCTGGCCGCCAGCCAGGGGAGTTATAGGAAGGCAGAGTCAGGGCCCAGACCACCCTGCCGGCAGCCTCCCAGCTGCGTGCCTTACTCCCCAGGGAGGTGAAGGAAGGGGCCTCCTGGGATTGTTGAGGGTAATTTCTCAAGCTGCCAGCTTCCTGGGGTATGGGCGGCCTCCCCTGCTGGTTCCACGCGCTCCTTGGGCGCTGCAGAGCCCGGGGGCCTCTGCCTGCACCTGCCCGCAATGGGGGGGCCTCCTGCAGGCCTGGAGGAGGGGAGATCCTGACCCGGCCCACACTGTGAGCTGCTCCCCAGCTCCCTGCGCCAGGCCCAAGGGACGCAGGGCAGAGGGTGCAGCTCCTGCCTTCGAGGAGCTGCTGGAAAAGAGGAGGGCACATCCTGAGGGAGGCCCAGGCTTGGGGAGCTGCCCCGGAGCTGCAGGGGTGGGGTGGGGAGGGGCTCCCGAGCTAGGGCACCGTCACGCACAGCCCTGCGTCCTGCCGGCTGGGTGACCTTAGACAAGTCACTCCAGCTCCCTCCGCCTCATCTGTAAACACAGATGGTGAATGTACCCTGGCCCGTCGTGTGGCACCTGCTGACCACCAGGCCAAGTGCCTGGCACATGACAGGCAGCCAGCCGTGGCGGCTCTGACCACAGCCTCACTGGGGCCCAGTGTCCCTAGGAGCTCAAAGGCAGGCTCACCTTTTAAATACCATCCACATGATGGTGACTCCCCGGGCGCAGGTCAAGCCTGGCCCTCGCCCCTGAACCCCAGACTCACACAGTCAACCACTGAGTCAGCCACTGTCCACTGCCGCTGTGCCGGCCGTCTCAGGGGCTCCGAAACTCAGCCTGCCTGCAGGCATTTCCCATCTCGGCCCCATCGGCTCCTCCGCTGCCTCCCCAGTCCTGTCCCCTGCGTGTGGACCCTCCCCCTTTCCCACTGCTCACATCAACACCCGGGGGGGGGGGTGTCAACCAGGGACCCCCTCTGTGCTTCTCACTCAAGCACTCCACCAGAATCTCAGTCCCTGCTCCCCCGGACACGCCTGCGGGCACCGTCACACCGCCTCCACCCTGCCACCCTGCTCCCCGCTCGTCCTCCACAGGGCTCACCCCAGAGAGGTCCTACACCCCACCGTGGCCCTCCTGCTCAGAGCCCGCAGCGGCTCCTTTCTCACTCCTGGGAAAAGCCAGCATCCTTCCCCTGGCCTCTGGGTCCTAGGCCATCTGCACCATCTCCACCCCCCAACCTTGTCCCCAACCTTTTCCCCACCCTCCCCCCGACTTCCCAGCCCCTGCGTCCTTACAGTGGGCAAGTGGCTTCTACACCCTTTGTGCCGAGTGATTATTACAACACCTGTGAGAACTGCAGTCAGGGGGTCATGGCCCACTCTACGATGAAGACACTGAGGTGGAGGCCAGCTGGCTTGCCCAGGATCCCACAGTCAGACATGGAGCTAGGGTCCTCGGTCTCCCCAGTTTGCCCCCTGTCTGGCCTCTGACTTCAGGGACTCCCAGTCCTCCAGGATAAAACCTCAGAACCCAGGCAGCACTGGGGCTGTGACGTGGGCAGAGTCCACAAGGCCCTTGCGGGGGGATGTGTCTGACCTGAGAGCCCAGCGGAGCCAGCAGACAGCGGCCCTTCGGCAGCTCCAGCAGGAGGAGCAAGGGCCCTGAGCTGACGCTGCCAGGCCTCCCCATCCCAGGCTTTGGGGTGGCTTTGGGGCTGGAAAGGGAGGGAGCAAGTGCCTGATACGTCACTTACCTCCAGGACCCCTGGGGCTCCTCGAGGGCAGCAAGGAGGGAGGAGAGAGAGGGAAGAAGAGAGGCATGGACAGAAAGGAAGGAGGGCTGAGCAGGGAAAGAGGAAAGGGAGGGCCTAAAAAAGTGTGTGAATTCCCTGAGCGTCCAATGGTCAGAACTCCACATTCTCACTGCCAAGGGCCTGGGTTCAATCCCCAGTCAGGGAACTAAAATCGCATGAGCCATGCTACACAGCCAGAAAAAAAGAAAATGCAGAATGAAAGAGTGGGTAGCATCTCAGGGGGACAGAGAGGAGAGAGGAAGACGGGAATGAGATGGGGAGGAGGACAGGACAGGATGGGAGAGGCAGGGATGAAGAGTCGGGGAAGGTGGAGGGTGGAGAGAGGGTGGGAAGAAGTAAGAAGGACGGAGATGAGACGGGGTGTGGGGTGCAGAGAGAAAAGGAAGAGGACAGGAGAAGAGAAGGGAGGGAGGCAAGAGAGACACAAAAGCTGGAGAGAAAACTGAGACAGGGGAAGGAAAGCACGTCCAGAGGGGCCGGCCAGCCCCCGGGAGGCTGCTCCCCGCTCGCCCCCCACCCCCCGGCCCGCCCCCGGGACTCACCTTGTCTGCCGACTGCGAGGTGCCGAAGAAGATGGGGATGAAGGCGAGCCAAACAATGCAGGTGGTGTACATGGTGAAGCCGATGGGCTTGGCCTCGTTGAAGGTCTCGGGCACGCCGCGCGTCTTGATGGCGTACACAGTGCACGTGACCATCAGCAGCATGCTGTAGCCCAGCAGGCAGATGAGCGACAGGTCTGAGATGTCACACTTGAGCACCCCCCTGGCGAAGCGGGGGTCCAGTGTCCGCTGGTCCTGGAAGTCCACCACCGAGTGGGATGGGTCCACCACAAACCACACACAGATGCCCAGCAGCTGCAGGGAGATGAGGCTGAAGGTGATGGCCAGCTGCGAGGCGGGGCTGATGAAGCGCGGGGCACTGACCGACCGCTTGCCCTGCTCAAAGATGCGGTAGATGCGGTTGGTCTTGGTGAGCAGGGCCGCGTAGCTGATGCTCATGCCGAGCCCCAGGAAGATCCGGCGCAGAGAGCAGGTACCCAGGTCGGGCTCGGCGATCATGAGGAAGGTGGTAGCATAACACAGGAAGATGCCCGCCAGCAGCACATAGCTCAGCTCGCGGCCCGAGGCCTTGACGATGGGCGTGTCGTTGTAGCGCACGAAGGTGACCACCACGAACAGCGTGGCGGCAATGCCCGCCACAGCCAGGAAGAGGGGCAGCACGGCCCAGGGCGAGTCCCACTCGAGCTTGATGATGGGGATGGGCCGGCAGCCCGTGCGGTTCTCCGTGGGCCGCATGTCGTAGGGACAGGTCTTGCAGGTGTAGCGGTCCACCTGGTACTGGTACCCTGTGCAGGGCTCGCAGTGCCAGCAGCAGGGCATGCCCTTCACCGTCTTCTTCCGCTCGCCTGGCTGGCAGGGCAGGCTGCAGACGGAGCGGGGCAGCTGCTGGCCGCTCCCCGGCCAGAGCATCCGCTCTATCTGTCAACGACAGCACAGGGGAGCCAGCCTCAGGACACGCCGCCCAGGGCCCTGGCCCGGCCCCCTGGCTGGCACCCTGGAACCTTCCGTCTGAATCGCTCCATCAGATGGCAAAACCCAGCTGCCCGGCTGGCCCTGCCAGGATTAACTGAATCCAACAGCTGCATTTAAATAAGCTCCCGGGCACGATTTAGACCTAGATGACCTGCGGGGGATCCTGCTCCAATACAAAACCTCCAACAGTCATACAGAGGCCAGCAGTGACAACCTAGAGTCACAGGGCGGAGAGCCAGTAGCCCGGACTCCCAGCCCGGTGAGGCCTCGCTCCTCACGGTGGTCCCCAACCGGCCGCATCAGCGTCACCCAGGAGCAGGTTGTGGAAATGTAAATGTTTGGCCACCCCAGACCTACTGACTCAGAATCTGAGTTGTTTTGGTTTTTTTTTTCTTTTAATATATTTTTTTAATGTGGACCATTTGTAAAGTCTTTATTGAGTTTATTATAATTGCTTCTGTTGTTTCATGTCCCAGTATGAAGGATCTTAGCTCCCTGACCAGGGACTGCACCCTCATCCCCCGCCTTGGAAACTGAAATCTTAAGCACTGGACCACAGGGAAGTCCAGGAATCTGAGTTTTAACCAAACCCCCCAGGTGGCTGGTGTGTGCACACATCAGGAGACGCGTTGCCTGTGGCTCAGCCCCCAGGGCCTCCTCCGGGTGGCACAGGAGTCAGGTTCAGCAGAGAACAAAGAACAAAGGTTCACTCAGAGAACCTGTAAGGTGTGACTGGGGTGAGTGTTTCTCTGCTTTGAATGAGTGCATTCTGTTACATGCCTCTGAAGACACAACTGCTGCGAGCAAAGGAGCCACAGAAGCTGGCATGCCCTACTGAGGTTGTGTCACGAAGTTCTGGAAAGTAAGCGAGAGCCCCCAAGAGCTCCAGGCTCTGAGCAAAGGGAGCCTGGCCACACTTGGGAGCCATATTCCAAGCATCAGCTCTCAGGAAGGATCATGCTTAGAGAATGGCTTGGGGGCTTCCCCTGTGGCTCAGAAGGTAAAGCATCTGCAATGCAGGAGACCTAGCTTCAATCCCTGGGTTGGGAAGACCCCCTGGAGGAGGGCATGGCAACCCACTCCAGTATTCTTGCCTGGAGAATCCCCATGGACAGAGGAGCCTGGTGGGCTACAGTTCAGAGGGTCGCAGAGTCGGACACAACTGAACAATTAACACTTTCACTTTCACGCTTAGAGAACAGCAGGCCCTTTGTTCTGGGAGCTCACTCCAGGAGAAGGAATAGCCAGTTGGTTTGGGGCTGAAGGGAGGCTTTTAGAGCTGAGAAAAAGGGTGAGTGGGGTGGGTTGGAGTAGGTAGGGTGGAGAATCCAAAGATGGCTTCATGGTAGATGGGGACAAAACTCTCAAGGAGGAAATTTGCCTTGTGGCTCTGGGCATGACCGTCCCCTAGAAGCCAACGAGCACAGCAGTGACCAGGGCCAGCTCCCATCCTGCAGGAACAAGGGGGCAGGACAATCTCTGGGCACCAGACCTGTGATGCTGCAGGGGGACCCAGGGATCCAGGGGGATGGGGGGTGTTCCAGAAAACTGTGACTCCAGTGGAAAGAGCAGTGAATGAGCTCAAATGTTGGGATCACAGTTCTATTGCTAGCTGGCTGTCTGCCCTTGAGCAAACACCTCAGCCTCTCTGAGCCTTTGTTGTCCCGCCTGATCCAAAGACAGCAGATACAAGGCCACCAGAGCCCTCTGTGACTTATGATGGCTTCCACTTGGAAGTTCTGTCTGCTCCTCCAGAGCATCGGCCCCAGAAGGACAGGGAACTTTGAGTTACTTCCCTGCCACCTGCAGCCCCCAGCCCAGGGCTGGCCTAAGGTGGGGCCAGTGAATCATGGTAGAGTCTCCAAGAAGCAGTGAGGTCTGGCCACCGGAGCGAGAGCCATCGGGAGGGATGGGGCAGGTGTGGTGGTTGAGGATGAGTCCTGCATCACCTCCTCCCTCCCCCCAGCTTGACGTTGGTGGAGGGGCTTATATTCTTGGGGAGGGGACCATTATCACTCCCACCCCCCAGGCCTGCCTTCACTTACCACACCTGCAGAATGGGGTGATAACAGGGCCCACCCCGCAGGGCTGGCATCCCCACAGTAAGGTAACTTGCTGAGAACAGAAGCCGTCACTGCGGGTGCTCTGTAAGGATGAACTGCCTGCCACTGCCAATGAATAGAGGCCCTGCCCCTCCCCGCTACGCCAGATCTGAACGAGACAGGCCTCCATCTGGGCTGGGGTCCCACACTGCCCACACTGCTCCCACCTGCTCAGCAACCCAAGGAGCATCACTGTGGGAACGGGCTCTAGCCCCGCCATGCTGTGTGGCCTTTGGAACATCCCTAGGGCTGTGTTCCCCGAGATACTCCTTCTGATTTGGAAGATTGTCAGGGATAAACGAGATCATGGGCAGAGAGTGCCCTAAAGAGCTCCAGGGCTTCCAGCCGGACAAGATGCTTACAGGAGGGGACAGCAGGGACGAGGGGTGACTCTCCCAGAATCTGGGCCCCCCGAGCCTGTCCGGTCACCTGTATGTCACACTGTGCCCACCCCGCACAGCTCACCCTCCACACAGCGCAGGGACCAGTCAATCCACAGGCACCTCCTCGCGACACCAACCACAGGTCCCTTTTATCCCCAAACATGGCGTTATTCGTAGCCGGGGACATAGAGGGCAGGAGGGAGATCCCGAGTCCCTGGCACAGCCATGACCTCAAACAGCATAGCTAGGGGGCCCAGGAGAAGCCCCTTCATGCCACTGAGGAAAAGGATGGCCTTCCCGAGTGGTTTGATGGAGTCATTCTCAAACAGCTACCCACCAGCAGAACCCCACTGTGCGACTGAGCTCTTTGTCATCCTCCTCTGTCCAGACGCAGCCCTCCCTGCCTCACAATTTTTCCCCATTCCCACTCCCACCCCCAAGACTCTGAGCCCCCGCGCCCCAGTATGAATACATCTGTCTGCAGGGCTGGCCCTGTGAGGGGAGCAGGCAGGAGGGCCCAGGCCACGGGGAAGGACAGGGGCAGGGAGGGCGGGGGCCAAGCTGCCCTGCTCTTCTGTCCTGGAGTTTGGGGGCTCAGGGCCCTCTGATGGAAGGAAGCCCCAACTCGGCAGCACCAAACCCGGGCATCAGGGCTCCCCTCCTGGGGTCGGGTGGCTTCTCCCCGCCCCCCTACCCCGCCCTGCCCTCCCTCCGGGGACTTACTCGGAGGTGCAGGTGGTCCGTCCAGGAGCCGATGACCTTGTACTCGGCCGAGCCGTTACGCAGCTGGTACTGGTAGATGTCATAGCGCCCAGGTGCATCTCCGTTCTCATTGAAAGTCACAGGGTTCCCCGCAATGCCTGGGGGGGGGGGCGCCCATGGGGGTCACACACTCCGTTTCTTTGCTGAGCCTTTGCCCAGAGACATGGAGGAGCGTGAGCCCCGGGCAGCAACACCTCTGCATGGAACGTCTCAGGGTGTTTTACTCCCTGGAAGAATCTGAAGAGGTTCCCCCACTCCCACCCATGGAGCCCTGGGACCCCTTCCCCGGGATTGGGTGGTGCCCCCACCTGAGAAGTTGACATTGCGGATGTACTTGAGCAGCTGGGTGCCGTCCACGGGGTCCATGCGTGGGCAGAGCCCCACGCGGCCCGGACACAGATCTCGGTGCATGGCGTGCAGCGCGTGGCCCATGGCGTACACAGCGTCGATCACAAATTGCACCTTCCCCTCCTGCTCATACGCTGAGTCCTGCCCGATGCGCTCCCGGTCTGCAACAAAACCGGTCAGGGCGGGAGTGCCCACACGGCCCATGAGCGCTCACAGATGCGCTGCGGGAACCACAGCAGGCTCCCCGGGATACACCCGGGTCTCCTGGCCCCAGGCCCAGGGCGAGCTTCATCACCCCAGGAGACGGTCTCATGGGAGCGCCTGGGGGATGGTCCTGAAAGGCCCACTGCCCTCGTGACTGTACAGCTGGGCCCTGTGTGAGCCGGGAAGTCTCCAGGTCAGAAACTGCGTCTGTGGATGAAGGCAGTGATGCCCTACAGCAGCTCGGCCGTGGGCAGCCACCAGCCAGGGTGGTACGGGGGGGGAAACTGAGGCCCAGAGAGGGTGAGGGGCTGGCCACAGGTCCCTCAGGCTTCAGGACACCCGATGTCCTCAGTGGCTTCCAGATGCCCCAGACGTCAGAAGTCACCATCATCACCACCCACCCCTCCCCCCTGTCAGTGACCACCCCCACTTCTCCCCCTGTCAGTGACCCCCCCACCCCTCCCCCTTGTCAGTGACCCCCACTCCTTAGCCAGGGTGAATGAGCTTTGCAAAATACGGAACCCACCGCACCGCCTTCTCACTGCAAACAGCAGTGGCTCCCTAGGGCGCCAGGCCTCCCATCCTCACCCTCTGGTGTCTGGACACACCCAAGTCCTTTGCTCTGGGTCCTGTACAAACTCTCTGGCTGCCTGAGGTCTCGATGACTTGTCAGTAAAAAGATCACCATCTTGCCCCACGGAAGTGCTATATATGAGATGAGCTACAGAAAATCTGTGGCACAGAGGAGCTGACCAAGCCACATTACGGTGCTTAAACGCTCAGAAGAGAGGGTTTCTAAGCTGGGCTACAGAGGCTGCGGGGCTAGAGCAGGCCAGCAAGACTTTCTGGAGGAGGAGGAGCCCCAGGCCTGGGTCACAATGATGATGGAGGATACGGGCTGCTAACTTCTATGGAGCATCTACTCTGTGCAGGTGCTGTTCTAAGCTCTTTATGTATGTAAGTCATCAGATAATCACAGCAATGCCATGAGGTAATGATCCCCACTCATTTCTACAGAGATGAAAACATGGAGGCACAGAAAAGCTCCCTGGCATTCCAGGACCATGCAGAGCTGGCTTTGACCAGGTGCTCCAGCCCCCAGCCTGGACACCTGAGCGACTGTAAGAGCCGGACGGGAGCAGGGAGGGCAGGAAAGTGGCAGAGGGGCAGGAGCTCTGAGCTGAGGACAGGGGGATGGCAGAGGAGAGGAAGGGGGAGGATGGGCAGAGTGCTAGGGACCCCAGCTTCCCCCCACCAAGCCCAGAGCCCTGCACACAGCCTGGCTGGCAGCCTCCTCCCTTACCTCCAGGACGATGAAATTAACCCTTAAACACACACAGACACACATCCGTGCCTCCTGGCTAGAGGGCCAGGGCCACACCTTACAGAGGTTGTTCCCCAGTGGCCAGCATGGTGAGTGGCACCCCAAGGGGCCATGGGCCCGGGACTTTAATGGGTGTCACGTGGGAGCCAGGTTGAGGCCTCAGCGATCCACAGGTCACTCCTAAGTTTCTCTACTTTTAGCTAATTCATGGTCACTGTGCCCTGCTGCCCAGGGCTCCCATGGAGCTGGTGGCACATCTCCTATGCCTATGTTGGCCACCAAGACACTGTGACCGAGGTCAGAACCTGACTCCAGTACCCTAACCTCGGGGTCACAGATCAGAGGCCCCCAGTACCCAGACTGGACAGTTTAGGGGAAGATTCCCAGTTGGCTCTGGGGGAACTGCTGGCTCCAGACATACCACAGCTTCTGCAGCATGGCCTTGGGGCTGGAGACAGGGTGGTCTTCAAGGCTGAGCCCTTGGCTCCCCACTGCACTCGCACCAGACTGTCTGGGCAAGAACCCCAGCTCTAACACATCATCTAGCTCTAACACATCATCTAGCTATGACCTTGGACCTGCCACCTCACCTCACAGGCTTCAGTTTCCTAGATTGCAAGATAAGGATGCTGATGGTACTTAGCTCATAGGGTTTGGATAGGGACCCCGCGAGGATAAACGGGTCTACATTCACAACAGGTCATGGAGAGGCCTGGTGCTTGCCAAGTGCTGCAGAAGTGCGTTAAACCCGAGGGCACAGACAGGTCTAAGCCCCGCCCAACTCGGAGCTCCGGGGAAGGCAGAGCTGTGCCAACAGGCAAAGCTGCCTCTCGGCCACGGCACAACAGGTGAATGGACGGGGGGGGAAGGTTCTCCGGCCTCAGTAGCCTGCCCTCTTGTTCAAGGCTTCTGATCACAGGTTCTGGTAGCCAGGAAAGAAGCTCCAGGGACAATCTTGCTCCCAGAGGGTGACAGAAGAGGCTGGCACAGGGTTGTGTGGAAAGCCCCAGCCACGGGCCCCTCCCTCACCCCCGGCCCCCGGGTCCCGTCCTCTGTCTGCATCCCGCCATTCCACACCCCCAGAGCTCCCATCACGCTCTCATTTCATATGGACGAGAGACTGAATTATTAACCAGGATGGAGGGGGCAGCTGCGGCCGCTGCAGAGAGGGGGCAGGGCTCTCCCCAGGCCAAGGACACACACCCCCTTAGCGGTCCAGCTGAAGCAAGCATCCCTGGGCCACACGGGTCCAGGACCATGTGATCTCACTGGGGTCACACATGGAGTGCAGACGACCTCACGGGAGCCCCTCACCAGGGGCGCTCACCTCTGCCTGGCTCCGGGGTCCTGTGGGCTGTCAGCGGGCCTGGACCACAGCCCCTCGGGATCCCCCGCCCCCAGAGTGGCCACAGGGCCAGCTGTCAATTTCTGGAGATTCCCCAACACACTTTCACGCGGTTGACTTTTGTCTCAAGTCTGCCCCCAATGACAAATGAGATAACAGGGCAGTGAGGTGCCCTGCAAAGGGTCTTTATTTTTAAGGGAGTGACAGGCCTTGAGTCTGCCCCCTACACACACTCCATCTCACACACACAAGGCCCCTCCCCTAAGCCCCACAAGAAGCAACAATGACAGAGCCTAAGTGTGCTCCCTTTGCGGGAGGGGGCAGGGGTCACAAACACAAGTTCAACAAGGTCAAGACATGCTGTCCTGAATGTTGGAAGCTGCACCCGTAACCAGTGAGGCTCTCTGTACACCCTTGACTCCAGCAAATAACCCCGCAGCGTGGCCGATGCTTCGTTTGCCCTGAGTCTCTGAGAGGCAGGCCGGACCAGCCGCCCTCATAGAGGAGGAGGTTCGTAGGTAGTCCAGTGCAGTACCGAGGCTTGCGGGAATCCTGACCACCGGCAGGTGTTCCTACACACCTGGGGACAGGCCTGGCCTGTGAGTGGATGGGATTTGAACCTAGATCTCTCCGGCTCCCAAAGAGTTTCTGCCACCCTAAACTGTTCCCTCCTTCTCTCTCCATCCACCCTGATTTGCCTCCTTCCCCTTCTCTGGGGCGTCTGGCCAGGCCTAACCAGGAGCTACGTGTCTGCACGTAGCTGTCTGCAGCTAGAGGAGGCAGGGGGCCATGGAGGGAAGCCAGGGTCAGAGAACCCCCTCTTGTGGCGGGGAGGGAGGGACCCCCAGGCCAAGGCGGGGGAATCACAGTTCTGGGAGGAAGCAAGACAGATTTCTGAGAGCTCCTGGAGGAGATCAACTCCGGACACATGGCAGCGATGACAGCAGCAACAGTTTGAAGATGTCCTAATTGTGTCCCGAGGCACAGTGAGCCGGAGAGGCGTTTGGCTCGGCCACGGGTGACAGCCAGCCCCGGAAACATCAGCGAAAGGATTTTCTCCACGTCAAAACCCCCGCAGCTGCGGTTACTACGGAGACTGAAGCCTTTGTCTGAAGGTTGTAAATTGTAATTGAAATGAGTTTTCAAGGTTGAAATAACCATAGCTCCTCCCGGTCTCCCCCCTCACCTCCTCAAAACTCACCCCACCCAGCCACATTCCTCCTGAGTTCTAGGCTCACGTGTACACACACACACATTTCCTCACAGAAAGGTATGGAAAATCAACCACATATACACTCACACATTTTCACACCTGCACATGTAGAGTCACAACACAAACGTGCCCGCATTTATACACATCTCTATACACACATCCACGTCCAAACATACGGAAACACAAGTGGCCACATAAACACATGCTCTACATACACAGCTACACGATTAGCATAGCACTTGTACATGCATGTGGTTATTTAGATTCACTGCTGGGTGGAGAAGCACCACAGACAGGTCCTGACAAGGATGTGGGCACAAGCATTTTATCTGGAGGTGATGCTGAAAGCACGAGTCGGGTAAGAAAGTGAGATGAGGGCATGAAGGGAAAGCACTAATGCTTGGTATGAGTCTCGCCCACGGGCGGCTCCAGAGAACAGCGGGGCCTAGGCCTCAGGCCAGCCCATCTGAGGGAACACACAGCCCCACCCTAGCCAGCTGAAGGCCAAAGGCTGCTCCTGGCATTCATCCCACTGGCAAAGTGGTGCTGGGGGGCCGCCAGGGGGACACCTCAGGGTTCCCGCCCCCAGGCTCTAGTCCACACGGGTAACTGACATAGGTGTGTGGACATACTGCACGTATCTACAGATCTGTAAACTGGCATCTACATACAGACAGGCCAACATCCACACCGGTTTTCATCCACTGGGCAAACTTCCAGGGAGCAGGATAGGAGGGTCCCAGGGTCTTCCGAGGGAGAGCTGGTGCGTGTCTCTGCCTTGGATCAGCCCTATGACTGGGTTAAGCAACGCTTACATCTCTAGACGTAAATCTACAGTAATAATGCTTACTTTGTGGGGCAGCTGATAGGATTCAAGGAGGCACAGATGTATCGATAAGACGCACAATGTCATACCATGTACGTACTGTTCTCCAAGCTTCCCTTTTCCTCTCCTCCCTAACACACCCCCAAGGGGAGTCCCACTGCCCGAGGCCTCCACCCAGCCTGGCTGCCCCTCTGTATGCAGCCTGGCATGTGCTGACTCTCCCTGCCCCCCCTCACAAGATGGGCGTGG